CCCTCGCAAAATGCTGCAGATTCGCGCTCCCGAAATTCAGGTGCATCAAGACGGCCCAATATCGTTCCAACGCTGGCTACTCTGGCCCCAGGGCAACCTTAGATGGCTTCAAGACGGCCCCTGAGGCCTTCGAGGTGTCCAAAGAACGCCTCGGGAGCCCTCCCAGCGATGACCCCGAGTTTCAAATCTCAGTAATTGTCCTTGGGTAGTCTGGTTTGTTTCGGGTTCTCGCATTGTCGAGCTCCCGACGACCCACGCCGACCCACGAGGCCACCAGGACTGCCCCAAGGCGGCCCGAGAGGCCCCCACGAGGGCCCCCCCAGGGGCAAGCATCTCTCGCCTGTTCGAGCTTCCGACGCTCCCAGGCGGTCGCCGAGCCCCCCCCCCCCCCGAGCCGCCCCCGAGGCAGCTCAAGAGGCCCCCCGAGAGCTCCCAGAGGGCCCACTAGGGCTGCAAAACTGCCAGAGAGGCGCCCAAGAGGGCCCAACACTGGAAACACGAGCCAAGCACTCGAGCCTTTGTCCCAAGAGGTTTCCAGCCGCCCCATTGCTCTAATTACGGGGTAGTTGCCGCCTTGACCTTGACTGCTGCGCTGGCACGGTGGAGGAATTGCCGCGGGCAGCTGAATATATATATATATATATACACACACACAAGGACCACGAGCGCGCTTTGCGCGCGGGTTTTCCACCCTGTTCCCTGCCTCCCCAGTTTCAAGGCGCGGAGAGGGGAGAAAGCAAAGGACAAGAACGATGGGAGAAGGAAACGGGTTGAAAAGAGAGTGGGAATAATGATGATCAGCAGACGGTGCAAGGGGGGAGGGTGATGCAGAGGGGAGGCGGGATGGTTGTGATGATGGCGAGGGCGAAAGTGATTGTACGGCGATCAAACGCACTGACTTGAATAATTGTAATTGTTGTTTGCCCCCCCCCGCCATCTCTCATTCACGCTCTCTCTCTCTCTCTCTCGCTCTCTCTCTCTCTCTCTCTCGTTCTCTCGCGTTCTCTTTCTTTCTCTCCCTCGCTCTGTCTCTCTCTCTCTCTCTCTCTCTCTCCCCACTCTATCTATTTTTTTGTTTTTTCTCTCTCTCTCTCTCTCTATCTCTCCCTCTCTCTATCCCCGACTCTTCCCATTTTGTTTCATCCGAGGGTGTTCCTTCCCGTCCTGCTCCCCCAAACCCTGTTGTTCCTCCTGAACCGACCCATGTGGAAGCGACCCGATTGTCCCTGTTCCCATTTACCTTCCTCCTCCTCCTCATTCTCCTCCTTCGCCTCGTCCTGACCTTACTCCTCCTACCCCCTGCTCCTTCTGATCGCCCCCCTCACACCTGCTCCTCTTCATCGCCACCCTCCTACCGGAGAGTGTCTCCCACCTCCCCCACCCCCTTCATCCCCATGATGTATGTTGTCGGCCCTCCACACGCCCTTCTCGGCGACCCCCTGCCTGTCCCCTTTCGCCCCCCTCCTGCTCCCCCCGATCCATCCGCCCCCCCTCCTGCTCCAGAAGAGGGCCTTGCCCACGCCCGCGACAGCACATTCAGAGCGTGGCGGGACGGCGACACCCGCAGAGTCCGACGGCCCGCCCGCACGACGGATCCCGCCGACTGGCGACGGCTGCCAGCCTGGAACCGCCCAACGCCTCCCTCCTCCTCTTCCTCCCCCTCTCCTTTCCCCTCCTCCTCCTCCTCTCCTCCTCCTCCTCCTCCTCCTCCTCCTCCTCCTCCTCCTCCTCCTCCTCCTCCTCCTCCTCCTCCTCCTCCTCCTCCTCTTCCTTCTTTTCCCCTCCTCCTCCTCCTCCTCCTCCTCCTCCTCCTCCTCTTCCCCCTCCTCCTCCTCATCCTCCAGACGCCACGCACGCGTTCTGGCGTGCGGCGGGCGCGATTCCGCCCACGGCCGAGGCGGCAAGACATCCGCATCCTGTCTGGCCCCTCTGCCGCCCCGCTCGCCAGCGGAAGGGGCAGCCCCGCTCTCCGGCCCCGCCACTCCGGCAGCAGTGCTCCAACCGACGGGCGCGCAGCACCTCCACGCCATGGGCGCGACGACACGAAATTCGCGGGCCCTGCATTGACCGACTGCGACAAAGGAGTGTCAGACGCTTGCAGATTCTGAGCCTGCGAACGAAGGCTCCGTGCACAGAAGCAGGGCACTGCCCACAGCAGGTCCACGGCCGCTTGTGAAGCTGGCGCTCCCCCGTGGGCCCCACTCCGGTTGGACTATCCGTATCCATCGCCGCCCCATGTCAGAAAAGATCGTATTCCCCGCGGCGGGTATTGCTATACCATACACCGCTTCTTGAATGCATCTACGGAGGAAGTGTAACTGTTGTGGCGACCTTGGCACTGATTCCTCACGCCGTGCGGGTCGTCCAACCTTGCACGATCGCTGCTTTACGATCGCGCGGATCCCTCGATGTCGGCAGATCCGGGGCAGCCGGCAACGTTTAACCTTGGAGGCCCCCGCTTCGCTCGCCGCCGCGTCGACACGGCAAGAACCTAGAGCTTGGCGGTTTGGGGGGGGGAACTGATCGTAAAACAATGCATGCTCTCGTGTGTTGCCGGCCTGTCTCGGACGATGGCTTCCGAAGGTTCCGAGAGTCTGGCGGGGCTACGCTGGGAGGTGCTCGTGGTTCTTGGTGCCCTTCCTGATGTGTCCGAAGGGCTACGGGGGGCAAGACGCGCCAGCCGTCCATCTACATATCTGGGGGTCGTCACGGGTGCTCCTGGCCGAGCGTGTCCCGACTCTTCTTGCCATCTTGAAGCCCATGGGGCCCTCTGGGCCTCGTGAGGAGTGTCCTGGGGGCCATCTGGTGCCTCCCTGGAGGACGCTGGGGTCAGCGTTCGGCGGCTGCTCGTAAGAGTGACCCTAGGCTCAGGTCGGGCATGTCCCCCTACAGTGGAACTTTGGACGAAAAATCTAAAGTACAAACAACAATGCAAACATAGTCAACATAAACTACATAAAAAATCGTCCCCAGACTATTTTGACGTTTGTTCAATGTTCCTCCTGGAGGAGGGAGAGGAGGAGGAGGAGGAGGAGGAGGAGGAGAGGAGGAGGAGGAGGGAGGAGGAGGAGGAGGAGGAGAAGAGGAGGAGGAGGAGAAACAGGAGGAGGAGGGGGGGGGAGATGAGGAGGAGGAGGAGGAGGAGGAGGAGGAGGAGGAGGAGGAGGAGGAGGAGGAGGAGGAGAGGGACGTACCCGCCCTAACCCTGGGCAGTGGGGCCCCTCTGGTGCGCGGCTCGCGGGGTGGCGCGCGAGGGGGCCGAACTGGGGCACGCAGGCCGCTGCCACCGCCGCGCATTCAGGGCTCGGGGCGCCCCAAAGGGCGCGCACCAGAGGTCACTCCGGCGAAGGGTCACTCTTACGTGGACGACCTACAGTCGGGCTGCTGAAAGTAAGGAACGCCAATTAAGGAACGAAGCCCCTCTGCGGCTTCAAAAAGGCCTGGGCGCACGAGAGGGGCCAGAGGAACAACCACGGAAGGACGTAAGGAACATCGAGCCCCTTCCGAATCCAAACTGTTCCTTATGTCAGCGTCTTGGCTGTACCAGGTGAGCGTTTTTTTCATCGGCGTGTCGACATTGGGCGGAAGGGAGGGGGGGGGAGGGGGGGGGGGGTCTGGCTCCGGACCTCTGCTCAGTGCGACTGTAACCGTGCGTGCGTCCTCTGGGGGAGACTCCACCCGCTCGAAACAGGTGTCAAAACACAGCACGGGGGGGGAGGGAGGGGTGCAAGGGCCCGCGCCGATCGGCAACACAAGAAAGAGCAGCAGACCACCCCAACCCAACCCGAAGACCCGAATCTCGAGTTGGCAGGGTGGGGGGGTGCGGGTTCCATATGTGTTTTTTCGATGTTCCCCGGCCCTCCCCCCAACTGGAACAATGGAGAGCAAATTGAGGCCTTCGGGTTCGGTTGGGTTGGGGTGCTTTGGTGGGTGTTGCAACGTGTAGTCGAAGCTTGCGCAAAGGCAGCCCCTGGCAACACCCGGTACACATCTTCTCCTCTGGCGGCCCAGCGGCGTCACCACCGCGAGGGCCATCACGCGCTGCAGTCTCGCCGGATCCCAGACGGCGCAGCGAGGGGGTGGCCGCGCTGAGGCGAGCGAGCGCTGGGAAACGCCCCCGGATCACTAGACCTCGCCGGGCAGCTCCTGTGCCCAGGGTGGGTCGGGCGCGCAGTCCTGACCCAGCCAGGCGCGTGCACCTGAGTATCGTTTAACCGACCCCATCCCCAGCGGCGTGGCCCGGGCCCCACTGGCCGATTCACCCCCCGGATGGGGATATAGGCCGTTCCCTTCGGGGTTCGAGGGATGTATCCCCAACTGGGGGAGTAATTTGGTGGGGGTCTCGAAGGGGATGGGGATGGATGGGGATCGGTGAAACGATACTGAGCACCTGCACCAAATCCAGGGAGCAGGGCCACCCCAGCAGGGACCGGAGCATACTCGAGGCCAGCTGGTCGCCGTGGTGCTGTGGCGCGGAGCCGGGAAGATGGGCCCGCGAGGCCACACAGATCCCAACCGCTGCCCGCGGCACGTCAATCTGCTGAGGCCGAGCCCCAAATGCTCAGCGTGGGGAAATAAGCACCGCATGCCCTTTTGGCAACAATGGCGTCGGTGCCCCGTTTTCGTCTACCCCCCGCAACCCCGTCATCGCCCACGTCGTGAAGAAGACTCGATGTCGAAGTACTGGGGCTGCTGGAAGCCCCAATCCTTCCTCTGCGCCGGCACTGGTAGTGTTTGGCATTCAGACACAACGTGCGACAACGTGCCCCCGCCTCCACGTTAGATCCACTGGATATCCATAACCGTGTATGTATATATAGGTATACACATGTCTGTTGATGTGTCTACAATTTAAAACTGAAACCATCTATAGGTCTAAAGTGTATGATATGGCGTCGCTTCCCTCACGTTCGATCCTCACGTCCTCGCGCGGTCATCTTGCCACCACTTGCCTGTGCCTCCTCCCTGTCTCCTTCGAGGGATGCCACGACTTTCCCCGCGCCTTCTTGCTGCCGTCCTTGTCGGAGGCGTTCGGCGTTAGGCTGGCAATAGCGCTTGCCACGGCCTCGCGGAGCGCCCGCCCTCCGTTGATGGGCACTGCGGCACAAAGCGAAGGATAACCGCGATAGATCTTCAATTACCCCCCTTCTAAAATGAACGAATCATTCCCAACCCTCCTGTGGTATTGGGCCTGAAGAGACAGCGCCCTGCGTCAGTCACCTCACCCGTGTCACTCACCTCACCTCTCTCCTCCTCGCTCCTCCTCCCTCCTCCTTTCACTGCCTCTCCCCTTCGCACGTCAACAATTTCGGCACACCCCTCACTCGTGTCGTGGCTCCACAGGGAGCCCCACAGCAGGCCCCGGTGACAGGGTCCGCATGCGTTGGCTCGCCCATGTCAGCACTCCTCACACGACTTGTGGTCCCTATGGGGAGCTCCAACGAAGCCCCCAGTGGCAGGGTCAACATGCGGCGCCCCGCTCGTTTCGGAAAAGCCTCACACGCTTCGTGACCCCATAGGTGGCCCCTCCGACGGCTCAGATGGCAGGGTCCACGTGCGGTTCCATCACTGATTCCGGCACCCCCTTCGCACGACTGGTGGCTCTAAAGGTGCTCTACCAAGGCCCCAATGACAGGGTCCGTTGCGCAATTCTCCGCCTCACCCCTCACACGCCTCACGGCGCCATTCATATTCTCTTTTGTTATATATATATACATATATACAAATATAATATAATATATTATTATATTGTATTATACTATATTATGTTATATTATATAATATTGTATTATATTATATTATATTATATTATAGTATGTTATATTATATTATAACATACTATATCTCATTATATTATATTATATTAAATTATATTGTATTATATTATATTATATTATATTATATTATATTATATTATATTATATTATATTATATTATGTTATATTATATTATATTATATTATGTTATATTACATTATATTATATGATACTATATTATATTATATTATTTGATATTACATTATATTATAGTATATTATATTATATTGTTTGTTATCATAGTATGCTATATTATATTATATAATATTATATTATATACTATTATATAATATTAAATTAAATATATTACCTTAAATTATATTATATTACATTATATTTAACAAAAAACTCCTGCGAAACCATCACTGGCAGGGACCACATGCGGTTGCCCGCCCATTGTGGCACACCCCTCATACGCTTCCTGGCCCCATGGGGAGCTCCACCGAAGGCCCCTGTGGAACGGTCCACCTGCGGTGCCCCGCTCATTTTGGGACACACATCGCACGCTTCGTGGGGCCTGAATCGAGACCCCCCCCCACAAATCTAAGATTTTCCGGAAAATTCACCGATTTCCCTGCCGGTGCGTGGGGCTCCCAATGAAACTGCAGGGTTCCCGCCGGGCGCTGCCGCACCCGAGCCCGAATTCAAGGGCGTGGTGGCTCCAGGCTTGGTCGTACCATCCGGGGCCAGACGGGCTGGGTGGCCATGTCAGTGGACACCGACGGCGCGGCTAGAGTCCAAGCTTCGGCGTGTCCTCCTTCAGAGGGGGTTTTTGACGAAAAATGGAAAATCATGAAAAAAAGGGACCAACCATATGAAATTGCGAACGTCGCAACTATCCACGCCATCTTCGCCTGCACTCCTGATGGGGCCACGGACCGCGCTAGGGGCGTGGCGAAGTGCGCGGCGGGGCACAAGGCGCGAACGAAGACGATGGTTCAGCGAGCGAGAGACTCAGAGCGGGCGAATGTGAGCGCGAGTGGGTCTGATTGTGAATGTGAGTCTGCGTGCGTATGGATCTACGTGCATCAATGTCGACGCCCATGTCGGCGCGCCCCTCGCGCCCGCTCCCTTTCCGTTCTTTATCCCCCTCTTTGCCCGCCCGCGCCCATGTCCAAGGCCGCTGGAGCGGCGCCGCGCGGAGTCCCCGCGACGCGCGCTGGTCGCCCCGAAGGGGTCCCAGCGACGCGCGCGGGTCGTCCGCTGCGCGGAACGGAGAGAGCTAGCAGGCCGGCTGGTAGCGGGCAAGTCTCTGGCTGCCGGGCACAGCGACGACGGGGGCGAGCGAGGCGCTGGGCAAAGCGCAGCACGCCGTTCCCGCGACGCACGCTGGTCGCCCCGAGAGGGTCCCAGCGACGCGCGCGGGTCGCCCGCGGCGCGAAGCCAAACAGTAATACCACGTCTGCGAAGCGGAATGGTGCACAAAAACAGTGGCGTGTAGCTGCACGCTGCAATATGAACAAAAAAAGAAGGGAGAACTGGGGAAATAAGATTTGCCCGCGAGGGGCAAGCAGCAGGCGTGCAGCAGCGAGGAGTGAGGAGACTACGCCTGCTCATGATCTTCTTCTTCCCCTCGCGAAGACGTGAACAACGATAAGGACAAGGACGACGGCGACGACGAGGACGACGACGATGACGACGAGGGCTAGGATGACGACGAAGACGAAGGCGAGGGCGACGAGGTCGACGACGACAAATGACGACGACGACGACGGGAAAGAACGACGAGGGCGGCAACGACGAGAACGACGAGGACGACGAGAACAACGCGGTCGACGACGGCACTGCCGACCGACGACGGGGCGGCGGCAGGGCCTCCTGCTGGTCGGGCGCGCCATTCCTAGAAGGGGGGTCCCTTCCTCCTCCCCCCTCCTCCTCCCCCCTCCTCCAATCTGTTCTCGGGCCCCAGGACCATCGGACATTGACCCGGGACGGAACACTACCCTGGGGGAAGCGGAGCGACCTCCTGGTCAAACAATGCCAGGGGCGGTGACCAACAGATCCATATGGCAACACTCTCGGGTCGAAGCCAGGGAGAGGTTATAAGCGACGGTGAGGAGGCATAGTCAATCAGCATCGACTCGTCAAGTCGTGTCGGATCGGGATGTGCGTCGGATGGGCCAGGATGCGCCACAACGCCAGGCATGCATCGGGCCACATCGGATCACTGGAATGCCGGGCTCGAGTCGAACAGGGCTGGCCAGAATCGTTATCGAATCGGATTGGCCGAATCGAAATTGACCCTGGGAGGAGAATGGGAGCACGCGCGTAATGGGGACCTGCGGGCCGCGAGAGGGGTGCTGTGGATGCCATCTGCGCCTCCCTGCGAAAGCTGGGATCACCTTGGGCCAGGGCCAATTCTCGAAACACCCGAAACAAAAGGAGAGAGGATGAGGCGGACGTGGACGAGGAGGACGCTGGTGAAATTCCGGCATCGGAGAAACGCGCCACCCGCGAGCCGAAGCAATCAGAAGCCATTGACTGTGGGTGAGGAGGGGGACTAGACGATGAAAATTGGGGGTCCCAGAGCGGTGCGGCGACAGACCCTGCGGTGACGTCGGAACCTCAGAAGGCCTCACCGCACGGTGCGCCACTGCGCGTTTTGGAACCTTGGAGGCCGCAGTCGCCCTTGACATCCTCGGACAGCAACGGCGCGGTCACCCCCAGAAAGAGCACGAGCCTCTTTACAGCTGCACCCCGAACCCCAGGACCGAGGAGTCGGCAGTGTCGACGTGCGTATAAGCTGAGGTACATGCGCGGATTGTAAGCAGAAGAAGAAGAAGAACAACGGGCATAAACATGAACTCTTGGCGCTCTGCACGGATTTCTTGGATCTGCGCTGGACCCCCCCCGGCGCGCGGAGCGCGCCAGCATTTTCGCATTTCGCATTTCTTGAGCAGGGACCGACCGTCCCGGCATGTCCCTAGGCATACCACAACATGTTCTTAGAGCCCAGAAGCTTTCTCAGAACCAACAAATGTTTGTTAGCACATAAATCCGATGCGCTAAATCAGGACAGTCCCAGCCAGAGATGTCCGAGTCAATCCCTAGAACATTCTTTTGGTAGGCCTAGAGGCAAGCCTGGACGCTCCGCCACTGCTCACCAGTTTGAAACATACCCCTTATCCCTATGCTTGACATCACCTCCCCTCGATGCCGACCTCAAGGATCCCCTCAGTCTCTGAGGGCCCATCCCTAAGCCTGTCCTCGCGTTTTGCTCGCCCATCTTGGGGATATGGATGAGTTCGAGGCTGGCTAACTGCTTGCACTTCGCAAAAAAAATCGGCACCGTCCGTGGTGCGCGCGCCTAAAACAGGGCTAGGATCGGGATAAATCGCTCCAGAGCCTTCCGGAGCGCTCTCAGAGCGTTCCGGGACGCTCTGGAGCGGCCGCGGCGCCCGATACATCCTCCAAACCCGCCGATCCTCAGAGATCTCGAGTTATCCCGATCCGATGTTGTCCCGATCTTCGCGCCGTTTTAGCAGAAGTTCGAGGCTGGCTAACTGCTTGCATTTCGCCCCCAAAAAAAATCGGCAGCGTCCCTGGCGCGCGCGCCCGCGCCCCGGCCAACGGGGCCGGCGCCCGGCCCCCAGCACCGCTGCGCCCTGCAGGGCCTGCACGGCGAGGGCAGGCCCGGGCCCGGCAGCCGGCGGGGGGCAGGCAGTGGTGTCGCACGCCCGTGCCTCCGCTGACCGCCTCGAGCACCGAGAAAAACAGGACGTAAAACGACGCGAAGATCGGGACAACATCGGATCGGGATAACTCGAAATCTCTGAGGATCGGCGGGTTTAGAGGATGTATCGGGCGCCGCGGCCGCTCCAGAGCGTTCCAGAACGCTCTGAGAGCGCTCCGGAAGGCTCTGGAGCGATTTATCCCGATCGCAGCCCTGTTTTAGGACGGGAAGTCTGTCGCCATCTTCTGCCTCCGGGGGCCTCTTTTACCGGGCCTCGCGGGGCTGATGCCACACAGGGCGTGAGTGATTGGCGGTGCGCACAAGGGGGTGCAGGGAGGGGGGAGGGCTTCTTAGAAGGGGGCTGTTTCTCAGAAGGCGCCGGCCTCACATCTATGGATAAGGGGCCCGCGGCGTCTAAGAAGCAGGCGTGTGTCTAAGAAGCCCTCCCCCCTCCCCCCAACCCCCCTCTGCGCGTGGCTGAAAGTGGCGGGAGTGCGCCGCCCGACAGCCACAAAGATCGAGGGGTCCCCCCGGGTGAACATTTTCTTTTCGGCGTTTCGACACCGGGCGGAAGGGGGGGAAGGGGGGGGGGGGTACTGCGGCTGTTTGCAACAGGGCGTCCTTTGTGGGGAAGACTCCGCTGGCTCGAAGCAGGCGCCAAAAACAGCCAAGATCCACTCCACGGGGGGGCGGAGGGAGGTGCGAGGGCCCGCGCCGATCGACAAAACGATGAATAACAAAACGATCACCAAAACGCCGGCCACGGCATCCGTTTTGTAATCTACGTCCACAGAAATGCCGGCCAGCACCCCTCTCGAGAAGCGTACGCCATTCCGCCGACCCCTCGAAAGTGAGGGAGGAGGGGGGAGAGGATAACGTGGACGACGACAATGGTGTAGGTAAGACGGAGGAGACGAAGGAGGACGACGGGCAGGCTTGGGATGCTCTGGGAGCCCCTTGGGGTCCAGCGAGCCCGTCGGGGGTTGTAGCCGAAACTTCGGCCGGCGCCCTATGTGGGGAGACTGAGACGACAGAATGTGTCGAGCAAGAAAGCGCCTGCATCATTGATTTACCTGGATGTTCCCATTGAGTCTACCATAAATGCCTAGTCCATCGTAGATCTACGGGACATTCGGCGCAATTTTCGTAGATCCGACGAAACAATCAAGTCTGAGGGGAATCCATAGGCGATCCCCTGCTCGACGAACAATATGCGGCAGCTTCGTGCGGCGTCGGCGCGCGCAGAGGTTCTCGACACCGCGTCGATCGTTCAATTTAGAGTCAATCACGACCCCGATCGCTCAGAATTGAATTCCGTCGGGTCCTGTGGCGCTACTGTGTCCCTCGGTGCTTCTACCTAGGGGGCGAAGCAGTGGCACGAACACAAGAACTCGGAGGTCTGCGCGGATTCCTCGGATCAGCGCAGGGGCGGCGCCCGAGGCGCCACCAGGCGGGCTCCAGCGCCGATCCGAGGAATCCGCGCGGACCTCCGAGGCTTTCGGTTTATGTCACTGCGGTGGCACACCTTGCTCTGACGGCATCCCCGTTTAGGCATCCCGTCGCCAGCGCAGACGCCCCCCTGCCCAGCCGCCGACGCCAAAAACGTTTATGTCACGGTTTGCTTCCCTCCTTCGGCTAAAGGCAAGAGTGACCCTATGAAGGGGCCCCAGGACACACAAATAAATACACACAAATGAAAATATTCCCCATATGTTCCTATAGTTTGGGTTTCTTTTGTCTTCCCCCCCACTTCCCATGTTTTCCCATAGTTTCTTGGGAATCGACAATTCATTGTGTCTGTGTGCTTCTTTCCCTCCTGGCCCTATAGGCAAAGCGTGACCTCTGGCGCGCGGACTGCGGGGACCCAGGGTGGCCAGATCCAAGCGCGCAGGCAGGCGCCGTCGCCTCGCGCTCGGCGATCGGGGGGGCCCCGATGAGCCCGTGCCGAAGGTCGCTCCGGCGAAGGATCACTCTCTGGCCATCGCTCGGGCGTCCATTCCCTGTGCTTTCTTCGGTTTCGTGCGTGGCTTTTTCGCCACATGATCAAGGATGCTCCTCGATGGTCCTCGCCGAGAAAAAAATGCACACGACCGAGCGATGCCAGGCTCTTACGTGCAGTCGACTCCTATCATGCGGAATTCAGCCTCGAACGCCTTCGCTGGCGCCGCTGGCGCGCCATCGCCGCATGAACCTGCTTGGACGCCCGAATTATCCGGGGTAACTCGGGCCCGGGGCAACTTGGGTTCGGATTCCCGAAAAACGAACCCGAGTTAGCCCTGACCCGAGTTACCCCTGATGATTCGGGGCTCTGACCTACCGCACGGGGAGGCAGCAGCGGGGCGTCGCGGGCGGCCCTCCTGAGCACACCGACGGCCCTGTCCAGCACGGAGAGGTCCCTCGCGGAGGCGCTCGCGCTGCCCCCCTTCTGCGGCCCCGCCCGCTGGAGCCGACAGGAGATCTCAGGGCACGCCCCAGACCCCCTAGCAGAGCAGGGGCCAAACGTCCCCGCAGTCCTATAGGCCTACCACGACATTTTCCTCAGAGCCCAAGAATGTCCTGGGAACCAAAAAAACAGTGCTCTTAAAGCACCGACCCGGTGTGTCGAAACACGGCCGTCCCAGGCAGACATGTTCTGAGAACATTTCGTGGAGACCACAAAAGGTTCGTAGAACATTCTTTGGTAGGCCTCTGGGCACGCCAGGACGCTTCGCCACCGCTGGACCCAGCGCCGTGGACAAACAAACACACGACGAACGGTGCTTCTACATTCTTTGAAGGAGCCCTGGGACACACAGAAAAATAGACACACATAACCATATTCCCTTTAGTTTCCAATGTTTGTCTGGGTTTTTGCTTTCCCCCCCACTTCCCATAGTTTCCCATCTTTTCCTTGGGATCGACGATTCATTGTGTCTGTGTGCTTTTTCCCCGCCTGCTTCTTGGCCGCGCGACCTCACGCTCGCGCACTCCCCCGGCACGCCCGCGCTGCACTGCACACGCTGTGAGCGGCTCTTTTGCCCTCCCCACGCCTCCCCTCTCCCGCCGCGGCCCTCTTGGCGCCCACTTCTCCCCGTCGCTCGGACTTCCCTTCCCTGTGCTTTGGTTCGGCTTCGCGCGTGGTTCTTTCGCAAGATGATCCAGGATGCCCCTTGATGATCCCCGCCGAGCGATACCAACCAAGACTTTGCTCCCGGCCACTCCCGCCCGTGGCCCGGCCGGCGCCTGCCCTGCCCCGGCCCACTGGCGCCCGCCGACTTCACAACACGTTTCTGTGGGTTTGGCTTCCAGGGGCCCCCACCAGGTGTCGGAACCGTCACGAGAACAACTCGGGAGAAACGATCCCCGTCAAGGAGGCCCATCACGACCCGACTCGGGCTCCCGACGAGCCACCCCGCCCCGACGGAGGTCGCTGCCGAGGACATCGCCCAGCATGCCTCCCTCCGACCCCCTCCTCATCCGAGCCCTCTTGGCATGCCACGCCAGGCCTGAGCTCCGGAGGGTGCCGAAAGGGGTTTGGGGGGAGGGGGTTCTCCAGAGCCCCCCTCGGAACCTTGTCAAAACAAGGGCTGCGAAGCCCCTGGGGGACCCCTCCTGGAAAACTCCCTCCCCCAAAACCCCCTTTGGAACCCTCCGGTGAGCTGCATCGGGTCGCGAGATCGGACCGCGCCGAAGCGGACCGGACCGCCAGCGGATCGCCCAGAACCAAATCCCCGCACCTGGCCCCGTGCTCCCCGGTGGTGGTCGTGCAGCGTCTTCTCGCGACTTGCTCCTGGCCAGAAAAGTGAGGACAGTCATGCTGCAGGGGACCTCGTTATCCAAGTGCTCCGCAGTCGCCGCAAGGTAGACAGCGAGCGAGAAGCAAGCAGACCAGTAGGAAGCCAGGAGGAGGAGGAGGAGGAGGAGGAGGAGAAGGAGGAGGAGGAGGAGGAGGAGGAGGCGTAGGAGGAGGAGGAGGCGTAGGAGGAGGAAGAGGCGTAGGAGGAGGAGGAGGAGAAGGAGGAGGACTTGTGGTGCTGCGCGGTGGCGGAGGCGGAAAGGTTGACAGGGAGCGAGAAGCAAGCAGACGAGTAGGATTAGGTCGGGCGTGTCCCCCTACAGGCGGATTTTGTACGAACAAACATAACCAAACCATATTCAAAGCACACTCAAAAATAGTAGAAAAAATGTCCCCGGATTATTTTAGACTATATTTTGATACTCCTCCTGTAGAGGGACAAGCCCGACTTAAGAGGAGGAAATGGAGGAAGAGGCGGAGGCCAGAACCTCCCAGCCTCGCCCTGCACCCAGCCCGTGCTGCCGCACGGGACCGAATCGCGTCGGAATCGCGGTCCCAGCAGACGAGCCGCATCGCACCGGATCGCATCGCACTCCCAGGGCGCCCGCCCACGACCCCTGCCCCGGGGCGCCGGCTCCCCGTCGCGGACCCGTGTCTGATGCCTCCCCCCCTTGGGAGATCAGATAAAGAACATCCGCGCTGGACAGGTTTAGGGGGCCACATGCGAACCCTACCCCTAACCCTCCACGACTTCTGAGGGGGAGGGTAGGGCTCACTGTGCTCGGGAGCTCCCGAACGAAGTGAACCCCCCCCCTCCCCCTCAGAAATCGTGGGGGGTAGCGGTAGGGGTCGCATGTGGCCCCCTGAGGCCATGTCGTCGGAGTCCAGAGGGGCACAGGCGGAGGAGCAGAGGAGGAGGAGGAGGAGGAGGAGGAGGAGGCGGAGGAGGAGGAGGAGGAGGGGGAGGGGGAGGAGGAGGAGGAGGAGGGGGAGGGGGAGGAGGAGGAGGGAGGAGGAGGAGGAGGAGGAGGAGGAGGAGGAGGGGGGGGAGGAGGAGGAGGAGGAGGAGGAGGAGGAGGAGGAGGAGGGAGGAGGAGGAGGAGGAGGAGGAGGAGGAGGGGATCGGACCCGCGGCCCCCGCCGGCGCATCGCGTGCCGCACCGAATATCGCCTCGGGACCAGGCGGTCCTGCCTGGCCCACGGGCGCCGGGGTGCCCTCTCGGCGGGCCTCCTGCCGCCGGGCAGGCAGGCCTCCAGCGGAGGCGCGGGGGCGGAGGAGGAGCGGGCGAAGGGGGGGAGGGAGGAAGCAGGAGGGGGGGGACAGAACTGAGGAATGCTGGGGGCAAGCAGATGCAGAGACATGCGCGTTCGAAGATCCGCGCGGATGTCTCGCATGTGCAGTGGACCCCTGGCGCGCTCCGCGTTGGATCTGCAGAAGGGGAGCCTCCAACGCTCCCAAAGGGGACGGGGGGGGGGCCGGCAACGCCGACCCGAGAAATCCGCGCGGACCTGTGAGTGGTTCATGTCTTTTTTCTAGGGGTTGCCGCTCTCCGAGGGGGCGACGAGGCAAGAGGGAGGCCGAGGAAGGCGGGCGCAGACGAGGAGGTGATGGCCAAGGAGGGAAGGAGGAGGAGGAGGAGGAGGAGCAGGAGCAGGAGGAGGAGGAGGAGGAGGAGGAGGAGGAGGAGGAGGAGGAGGAGGAGGAGGAGGAAGGGGAGACCCCCCCAAGAGGGGCGTCGCTGCGGCAGCGCGCCTGTTCTCCAGCGCCTGCACTATCAGCGCCGGGCTGTTCGGGTCGGGGGCCTCGGGCTCCCTGGGTGGGTGGGGGGTGGGTCGCACGGCCGGCGGGGCGCAGTCGGTGGTGGAGGAGGAGGAGGACCAGTGCAAGCCCAAGGTGCAGCAATAAACGCTACTGCGATCAGCTCGCCCTCCAAGTTTCCTCATCCTGGGTCCTTGACAGCATTTTGCTCTCAGGGCGGGGAATGGCCCATGAGAAAACAAATCGCCTGAGAACGCCTCGTGCCCAAACACCGCTCCTGCCTCTTCACCGCCACGGACCATCGTGACTGTTGCGTCCTGACACTTCGTGCCAGAACGCATTGGTACTTCACAGCGCTAATGCAAGTGGCTGTTGTGTCCTGGCAATCATGGATCATGCCAGAACACAAGACCTGGACTTCGGCAATAAAATTCCTCGAAACTGATTCAACATTTGGAAACTGAATGCGCGCAACGCTTTGGGAGAATAATCACCCTCCACCCGTGAACCTGTTGTAAACTTTTCAATCGAATGCACGCGGCGCTCAAACGAGAACCACATTCAAAATCCACCCGCCCTTAAACCGTGAAACTGCTGCAACACTTAGGGACGAATGTGCGAAACACCAAGACGAGAAAAACATGTTGAAAACCACCCTCCCTCCATCCGTGAAACTTGTACAAGCGTTTGAGAGACGAATGCGCACTGCGCTGCGGTGAGAACCGCATTTTGAAAACCACCCACCCTCCATCCGCGAAGCTGCTGCAAATTTCAAACTGCAAGATCACACATGGCCAGGACATCTCAGGCGAAACGCCCGGCCCGGGGGATTCGGCAGGAATGCATTCATTATGAGCAACTGAGATGGAGGAGGAGGAGCAGGGGGAGAAGGAGAAGTAGGGCGTGAGCATGAGAGATCCGGTTATACTACAAGTGTCCCTGGCCCAAAGTGCCCCAGCTTTCCGCTCCATGTTGAAGCCCCTGGGGCCCTCTGGGCCTTGTGAGGGCTGCTCTGGAGGCCGTGGGGGCCTCCTTGGAAATCCCGGGGGCGCCTTGGGCCAGGGACCCTTCATCATGCGACACCCGAGGAGTGGGGAGGAACGGTGGCGCAGGAGGGGGACAGCAGGACAAGGAGGAGAGCACGGATGGGAAGGGAAGGAGGCGGAAGGCGGCGAGAGGAGGAGCGGCAGAAGGAGCAGCAGGACGAGGAGGGGGAAACCAGGATGCAGAGGGAAGAAGGAGGAGGAGGTGAAGGAGGAGGATGGAGGAGGCGGAATGAGAAAAGGAACGATGAGGAAGAGGAGCGAAGAGGAAGAGGAGCGAGGAGGAGGAGGGAGGAGCCAGGAGGAGGCGGAGGAGGAGGAGGAGGAGGCAAGGAGAAGGATGCGGAGGAGGAGGCGGAGGAGGAGGGGGAAGAGGAGGAGGAGGAGGAAAAGGAGGAGGCGGAGGAGGAGGAGGAGGAGATGGTGAGAGCAAGAGAGGAGGAGGGAGGACGAGAGAGGATGAGAGAGGAGGAGAAAGAAAGAGGAGGAGAAGGAACCGGATGACGATGATGATGATGATGATGATGATGATGATGATGATGTGCTGATGCTGATGATGATGATGATGATGATGATGTGATGATGATGATGATGAGGAGGAGGAGGAGGAGGAGGAGGAGGAGGAGAGGCGGAGGCGAGAGAGGAGGAGGAGGAGGAGGAGGAGGAGGAGGGGGAAGAGGAGGAGGCGGAGGAGGAGGCGGAGGAGGAGGAGGAGAGGGAGGAGGAGGAGGAGGAGGTGGTGAGAGGAGGAGAGGAGGAGGGAGGACGAGCGAGGATGAGAGAGGAGGAGAGAGGAGGAGGAGGAGGAGGAGGAGGAGGAGGAGGAGGAGGAGGAGGAGGAGGAGAAGGAAAGGGAGGAGGAGGAGGTTGAGGAGGAGCAGGAGGAGGAGCAGGAGGAGGAGGAGGAGGAGTCGAGGGCAGGGGTGAGGCGGACGGGCAGGAGAAGCGCTCAGCAGGGAGGGCAGGCGGGAGGGCGAGGATGAGGGTGCAGGGGCTCTTGTCGACCGACGGGTCGCGGGGACACATGCTGCTCGGAGCAAGTTCGGTGCTCGTTCTGGGGACCTTCCTGGAGCCGATCGCTCCACTGGTGCGCCGAAGTTGCGTCGATGCTGCGTCAGACGTCCGTCGGCTTGAAACCAACTTGAATCGTCGAACTAGGAGTCGAACTTGGGCCAACTCACAGGCGGGCAAATCCGATAGGAGGCCCCAGGGAAGTCCCCGGAACGAACACCCAAAGCAAGCAAGGGGGAGGCCCGGTGGAAGGGCGAGGAGGCCTGTACAGGAGGCGGAGGAGGAGGTGACTTAGAAGGAGGAGGAGGAGGGGGGGGAGAAGGCTGGGCAAGACGCGGGCACGCATGAGGATACGGCAAGACACGGGTCGTGCCGACCCTGGCGCTGGCCCCCGACACCGCGGGGATCGGTCTGACTTACTCCAGATTTCGTAATACAGGGAGGGGGGCCTCATTTCGGGGGGGGTCTCTTCCGGGCTATCTTGGAGGGCCTGGGGGGTCTGGGGACGATGTTTTGGAGGGTTCTCCCACGGGGGAGGTCTGAAATGGCTTGTCTTGGAGGGTCCAGACCCCTTACACGCTCGGCCGCTCCAGGAACGCCGGCTCGCTCAACCAAAGGGCCGCCGCCGGGCCCACGGGCGGCGCCCGGCCCCGCAAGCCAAGGCCGGGGTCGCCGCTGGCCGACCCGACGCGAAGCCGCCGTGCGCTCGCCGCTCGCTGGCATCTCGAGCGGGAGGTCGCCTGCGGAGTGGACTTTGCCCCACAGGAGTGTTACTCCAGATTTCGTGATAAAAGGGAGGGGGTCTGGACCCTCCAAGACAAGCCATGTCAGACCCCCCCCCGTGGGAGAACCCCCAAAACATCGCCCCCAGACCCCCCAGGCCCTCCAAGATAGCCAGGAAGAGACCCCCCCCCCGCAATGAGACCCCCCTCCCTTTATTACGAAATCTGGAGTATGCGAGTCGGATCTGCCAAACAATTCGGGCCGGGCGAAAGGGGGGATAGCAAAGGGGGGGGCATGAGAATCGGCTCACGCAGCGGAGTTTCCCGGCGCCTCCCGGCGCGGGAGGCGGCCGTGCATCGTGGAATGGGCCCCTCGGTGGGGCTGAAACCAGCTGCTTGCAGCAGGTTTCGTAACCCCCCCTTTCCCTATCCCCCCCCCCCTCCTTTATTTCGGCCGGAGCAATACCCAGCATGCCCTGTAGACCTGCCAACACCCTGTACCTTTGTGGGCTCGGGGGGGGGACGCACTCTTCCGGGGAAGCTCAATCCTCCTGCAGTCGGCCTCCGACGCGGAGCGCCGAGGGGCGACGGTCCCCCGATCGCATCTCCGCGCGCTCCTGGGGCGGGCCGGGGCTGTCTGGCCCTCGTCGGCGATCAATGGGCAACTGGGGGCAGATGACGACAACCTGAAGAAGAAGAAAAACAAAACCACAGAAACATACACTTTTGGCGCTCCGCGCGGATTTCTTGGATTCGCGCTGGGCCCCCCTCCCTGGCGCGCAGAGCGCGCCAGGGGCGGCGCTGGAGGCGCCGCCGGGGGGGGCCCAAGCGCGAATCCAAGAAATCCGCGCGGAGCGCCAAAAGCTTATGATTATGGTGCGTTTTCTTCGAACAACGATAACAACGACAACGAGAACAAGAATCCCCCACGACCCTTGCTAACCAGCCTCGGACTTATCTCTATCCCTGAGATGGGCGAGCAGCAAGCGAGGACAATCTTGGGGATGTGCCCCCAGACGCCGAGGGAATCCTTTAAGATCGACATCGAGGTGATGTGATGCAGAACGCATGGATAGGGTTCGGTCGGGCCTGTCCAGCTACAGGCGGATGTTGAACATTTAAAACATTCGAACAATCCTGAACATTTTCAAAAAGGGTGCAAAAATCGTCCACAGACTATGTTTCGACTATGTTTGGGTATTCCCCCTGTAGAGGGACAGGCCCGACTTCAGGATAGGGCGATCGATCTTTCTCAAACTGGTAAGTTGCCCGCGGAGGCGCGCCTGCTCGCGACGGCGGCCGCCTCCTCCGCGGGAGCCTCGGCCTCCTGGCGGCGGAGGGGCGCGCACGCGGAAGAGCACGCCGGTGGGCTGCCGGGCGGGGCTCGCAGCCGCCGCCGCCGACGCCGACGCCCGACGCCGCCGCCGACGACGCCGCCGCCGACGCCGACAACCGACGCCGACGACGCCGACGCCGGCGCCGGCGCCGACGAAAAAGACGACGACGCCGAAGTCGACGCCGACGCCGACGCCGACGCCGACGCCGCCGCCGCTGCCGCCGCCGAGGACGACGACGACGACGACGACGACGACGACGACGACGGCGACGACGACGACGACGAGGGTGGCCTAAAATGGTGTTGAAGAAAGCGTGCCCGAAAGGGGCCCTTATGGACCCTTCCTGGGCTCCTATCGGCTCGAAAAGGAGCCCCAAAGGGCTCCTTTTCTTCACCCATCCTTTAGACCACCTCCCTTGACACCCGCCCGAGCAAAACATGCCTGCTTCTAGAAGGCCAAGAACTATTGGGGCATCTGCCAACTACCGCTCTCAATTCCAGTCACACGCGTCTACAGATGGAGAACTTCGGGGTAGATGCGCCTGCAGACAACGCGGCGGTTGCGTTCGGCTCACTGCAAGGTCGGAGAGGAAGGGTAGATACGACGGCTAAGGTATGCTCTTATTCTGAAGCCAGTCCGACATGGTACTCTGAGGTCGGGCATGTCCCCCTACAGGTGGATTTTGGGCGACACATTGAAACGCTCAACAAATAATACCTGCACTAATGTTTGACTATTTTTAAATATTCCTCCTGTAGAAGGACAGGGGCGACTTAATGGTACTTCAAACTCGATGTTCGTTCTGGGGACCCTCTCGGAGCCCCTCGCTCTCCACGCAGGCGCCGATGCTGCGTCGCGTCACCGTCGACGTGCGTCGACCTTGGGTCGCAGTCGAGTCGAGCTGGAGGCGGACTGTTCGCACAGATCCGATGAGTGCACAAGCGGGGCAACAAAACAACAATCTCTGACCGTTTTGCTCAGTGCGGGGGTGCTTCCGGAATCTCAGCCTCCGGCCCCGAAAAAATTCGTCGGGGGCCAAAAACTGCCCCCGAGGAGGGGTCGGGCTGCTGCCCGGCAGCTGCGCCTCGCCGCGGGCGTCCCGAGTGGCCAACCTCGCCACGACCGGCTGCCGGAAGCCCGAGCTGCGACCCGCAGCGGCAGATCTCCGACGCCGCCTCGATGTCGGTCTCCGGGGCCCGCTGTCGAGCCCCGTAGCCATGAGAAACGGATCTTGGGCGGCAACTTACGGGACGTGAAAATGACCACAGCCACCGCTTTTCTTCTGCTGCCGCCTTCCAGCCAGCAGAAGCAAAGCAGTGGTTGTACTCATTGTCGTTAAGCTTGGCACCAGGGACATGACCACAACCACTGCTTCTTTTTCGGCCGGCTGAAGGCGGCGCAAACAAGAAGCAGTGGCTGTGGTCATTTTCCCGTCCCGCACTAGTGACTCCCCAGAAACGGGGTCGGGACCTCCTTTGGGCCGCGGCTTAAACAAAGCACATCGCCAGATGTCTGGCCTTACGATGCAAGGGTGACATGAAGTGCACAAACCGTGATCTCCGGAGGCCCGCGCGGATCTCTTGCATCGGTGCTGGGCCTTTTTCGGTGGCACCTCTGGCACCGCCCCTGATGCGCTCCGCGAGCCAGGGCGGGGGCCATGTGCCGATCCAGGAGACGCAAGCATCCGCCTCCACCGATACGTTCTTGACAACCCATCCCACCCCCTTCCTGGGGCAAGTTTTTCGCCGCGGAAACCTTTGTTTGACAGCCCCGGGCCCGAGAACAGGCCCCAGAGGCCGAAACGGAATGACAAGATGTAGCACCTCGCAGCGGCGGAAACTGGCGAGGGATCGGGCGCGGGGTGGGTCCCGGTGGGTCGCGGGGTGTGCCGCGGGGTGGCTCTGAGCAGGGACCGACCATCCCAGCATTCCTATAAGCCTACCACGACATGTTCTTAGAGCCCAAACATGTTCTAAGCACAAACACAGTGTTCTCAGAGCATAAGCCCGACGTGTTGAAACAGGACATTCCCAGCCAGAAATGTTCAGGGAACTTTTCGTGCAGACCACACAACTGTCTCAGAACAATATTTCGTGGGCCTATAGGCGAGCCAGGACGCTTCGCCACTGCTTGAGGATGGGTCGCGGGTGGGTCTCGCTGTGGGTCGCACGGCGGGTCGCGGGTGGGTCGCGTGGGGGGGGGGGGGCGGGCGTGGGCGACGACAGCAACAACAGCAAGCACAATCTGGGCCGCGGGATCCCACTTCAGCCACGCACCAAGGGATGCCTGTGCCACCGCTCGGCCCTCCCACTCTGATCGTGTCGTCGGCGATCTAGGCATCCACCTTGGCCTCCGACAACATCTGTTTCTGCAGTGCGGAGTGCTCTTCGAGGTAATTACGCGCTGCGCGCGCCGCGGCACCTGTTTGCGGCGGAGCCTCGTCGTGACGCCGCCGGCGCTGGTTCCAAACACCACGTGGATCGTTCATGGGAAAAGAAAAAGACACCCATAATGCGGGATGGCGATTAATACAAAAATGGGAGAACGAGTAAAAAATAGTTTCCTGCTATTTCTGCACAATTTTCTGACTGGAACAGGACGATGAGAAAAAAAACAAAAAATCAAGCCCGCGGCCGGTTTTTTCTAATCGTCATCCCGGGCGCCGCCGCGTGAACACGACCCCCGGTCATTTATTACTCGTCATCCTCCATTGCCCCTGGCCCGTGGCCACCTCTCCCCTGGATCCCACCGAAGCCCTGGCCGCGTGCCGGCTGCACTCGTCACCAGGGCCTTGCTGGCTGGCCCAAGTCGAGCCAGCTGCGTCGTGGTTTTTCCCCCGGCCTCCTCTGCCTCCTACTGTGTTCCTCGCGTTCGACCTGGCCTCCTCTACCTCCTACTGTTCCCCCTCGCCTTCTCTACCTCCTACTCGTTCAAGCTCTACCTCCTCCTCGTTCAATATTGAACTTCAATCTTGAACGATCGCTTTTCCGATAGCGCCGATCGTTCGGCATCGGCCGTGAGCGGGCCACTTGCGGCATTCGGCCTGGTACGCCCGCGCGAGGGGTCGCCGCCGCGTCAGCAGAGCGCGAACCTGCCGAACACGGGCTTGTGCAGAGCCAAGCGGCCAACACAGCCCGTCGCATCACTACTCGAAGGTCAAACACTGGCATGAACAGAAACTTTCGGAGCTGCGCACCGACTTCTTGCATCGGAGCCAGAATCCCCTGGCGGCTCCTCTGGCGCGGCCCCTGGCGGGCTCCGCGCTCCAGGGAGGGGGGTGCAACGCCGATCCAAGAGATCCGCGCGGACCTCCGAACAATTATGATTATGTCATGGTTGATTCCTGCGTGACTAGAACAGCTGGCCATTGAATTGTGCGGGCTGGCTGTAGGCGGGCAGGCAGGTGGGATGGCGCTGATGCCTGTGCACATGTCATCTCGCGCGGGTTCCTATACGTGCGCACGTCTTCCACGGTGCATGCAGGCAATAACCTTCTTCGAAACGCCCATTCGCTTCTTAGAAAACCTTCTTATTGGAGGCGGCTGAGGGGGTCTGAACTGGTAAGGGCCCCACAGGATCAGCAAGGAAGGAGGACGAGGCCAAATCCGATCAACATCGGTGGCCTGGCCACTTCAGGGGTCCATCTGGCATAATGTCTCCACCAGGGATACGTTTTGACGGTCCCGGATCCCGAAAACGCGAGAGACAGAGGCGAGTCGACCAGCGCGCGCGGCCGACCAGTCGAGCGAGGGCGCCCCCGCGGCCAGCCGCAGGGTCCTTGCCGGCGCTGGCGGATTTGTGCCAGGCAGAAGCTTGAGTTGTTCAGACCCAGACATAGAGAAGACCTGTCCCAATCCAGGCTCTGGAACCTGCAGGCGCTCAATGCTGGCTGGAAACAATGCTGGGCCACCTGGAGGAGGCCAGAAATCCACCCACCTCGACAAGCGGAACCATCTAGCAAACGACCCCAAGGAAGAAATCGACCATGGCAGGCGTGTTCTGAAACGCCCACGGCCGTCCAGTAAACGCCAAATAAACGACGATCAAGATCTTACGCGAGTTGACGTAGCAACCTTATGCGATGGCTTACGCGGGCCGCCAACGTGGCGCTTCACATTGGAAACGAGGGCGCTCACGCGCGACCGTAAGCGGGAAACTTACGCGCCAATGTCGATGAAGACGAACCCGTTTTTTTCCGACGCTCCATTATCGTGTCGGGATGGTTGTCTCCTCCATTGGACCTCAGACCCGAGGCGGCGGGTTATCCCTCCTGGAGAGGGACATGCCCAACTTAAAGGCTAAGACGCGCCCCGAGGACCACCGACGAACTCGGGAGTGGCAGCCGGCGGCGGCACCGCTCGGCGAGCCTCCTGGCCCAGCTTCTTCCGCACGGCCTGCGGGCGGGCGCTGCGGAGCAGGCCGAAGAAGGTGGGCCAGCGATGACGCACGGGCGGGAGCAAGAGCAGCGATATGTTTCGTTGTCTATCCTGGTTGTGTGTCTCGACTTCGGTCCCACTGCGGCCCGTTATCGGGCCGCAGTGGGACCGAAGTTGCCATGATCGCCGACTAGACTTCGAACGCTGTCCGAGGGATCCGATGCTCGAGGCTGTCGGGGGTTGGGGGTCGGACCATCGGTAGTCTTCCTGCCTCGCGATGTCCTCCAGCAGCTGCGCTCGGGGCCGGGGGCGTTCCTGGGGGTGCCCGGATGGTCCAGAGAGGCCACGGGAGACCAGAACTTTGGCGTGGAAGCTGGACTCTGTAGCGATATGTTTCGTTGTCTATCCTGGTTGCGTGTCTCGACTTCGGTCCCACTGCGGCCCGGTATCGGGCCGCCCCCGTGGGCATGAAGCGCGGATGCGTGGCGAGAAAAAAAAAACAGGAGGCGATGACAAAATCGTAGCGGCGGGCGTCAGGGAGTTGCACGCCACCGTCTGGCAACCCGTCAGCGTGTGACCTCTTCGTGGTGTCCAACGACCTGGTGTTTCTTCGAACGGAACACGCCAATTGCGTGCCCATGGCGCCACGTCATCGATTTTGCTTCTGCGCCCCCGGGTGCACGGTGCGGGCGCTGCGTGGCGAGAAGCAGGAGACACCCCATCACAGTCTTACTCGTGGACCTTCTTCCTCATCCGCGGCCGTGCCGCGGGGCACCGAATGGAATGCCCTCAGGCCGCTTCGACACCTCTGACATCGCCCATGCTCTTTCAAGGCACCGTCCTCCGGATTTCCGCAATTCCTGGGCTCCCATGCGCTGTCAACCAGATGGCTCAAAGAGGTCGTCCTCTAACTCTTTGAGAGGTCTATTGGGCCGTCTCGCGAGGCCACAGTCATTTCAACCAGCTCAGGTCTTCATGTGACGTTTGCGCACTCGGCTCCTTGACCTGAAGAGGAGTGCCCACGACGGGCCTGGAGGAGCCCCTTAGGAGGGCCCCCAATGCCCACAAGAGGCGCCCCTGAAGGGACGCGCGACGGCCTAAAACGGCCACAAGACGGCCTAAGCGGGCCACAAGAAGACCCACCGGCGGCCCCATCAGACCCCCAGACGACAAACGTTTCACCAAGACAGCACAGAAGGACCTCCAAGACTGCTCCACAGGAGCCCAAGACAGCCCCAAGACAGCTCAAACAAGACCCATGAGAGCTTCTCAAACCATGGAAACGCAAGATGTCACATACTAGCCGGCCGCTCTAAAATAGAGCGGGAGTTTCTGCAGATAGAACAATTGGCGTTTGCTTGTGGGCCTGAGGAAAATGGGTGGGAAGCGGTGGCATCCAGTCCCTCCCACTCCCTTGCTGGAAACTTCCACCTTCTCCTCCACATAGTCCCAGAACATCTCGTGAGTTCCCCGGAGGCCGTTACTCCTCCGCCTCCCCCTCCTCCACCACCTCCTCCAACGCTCCTCCTCGTCCTGCTCGTCCACCTCGTCCATATCGTCCTCCTCCTTCTTCTCCTACTCCTCCTCCTCCTCCTCCTCCTCCTCCTCCTCCTCCTCCATCCTCTCCCTCCTCCTCCTACTCTTTCTCCCCTCCTCCCTCCCTCCTCCCCCCCTCCTCCGTCCTCCTCCTCCTCCTCCTCCTCCTCCTCCTCCTCGTCCTCCTCCTCCTCCTCCTCGTCATCGTCTTCGGGGGGCTCCCTCCTGCTCGTCCTCCTCGTCCATCTCGTGCTCGTCCTCGTCTTCGTCCTCGTCCTCCTTCCTCCTCCTCCTCCTCCTCCTCCTCCTCCTCCTCCGCCTCCTCCTCCTCCTCCTCCTCCCCTCCTCCTCTCCTCCTCCTCCTCCTCCTCCTCCCCCTGCTCCTCCTCCTCCTCCTCCTCCTCCTCCTCCTCCTCCCTCCTCCTCCTCTCCTCCTCCTCCTCCTACTCCTCGTCCTCCTCGTCCTCCTCCTCCTCCTCTCCTCCTCCTCCTCCTCCTCCATCCTCTCCATCCTCTCCCTCCTCTTCCTCCTCCTCCTCCTCCTCCTCCTCGTCCTCCTCCTCCTCCTCCTCCTCCTCCTCCTCCTCCTCCTCCCCCTCCTCCTCCTACTCTTTCTCCCCTCCTCCTCCTACTCTTTCTCCCCTCCTCCCTCCTCCTCTCCTCCTCCGTCCTCGTCCTTCTCCTCCTGCTCCTCCTCACCGTCTTCGGGGGCCTCCCTCTGGGGGTGATTGGGCAACTTGGCGAGGGTGCCTCGAAAAGGAGTCCCAGATTGGGACACGCCTGGGTCGACCTCTGGGAGGATGCCTCCAGCGAGAGCCCCAGACTGGGACACTCCTGGCGCGACCCCGCGCGCGCCAGCAGATCGCCAGAAATGGTCCATGGGGGCGCGGTTGGGCCTGACTTTCCAACGCGCCAGGTGTCGAATTTTTGGACGCATTTCTCGAGCGAGAGCCCCAGACTGCGGACAACACGCCCCGGTGCGCCCCCGGTGCGCGCCCCAGCGCCCGCGGCAGATCCCACGAAAGTGGGCCCCGGGGGCGCAGCACGGGGCCTGACCTGCGCAAGCGCTTGGGAGGGTGTCTCGCGCGAGAACCCCAGACCTTGCCGTCGCTCGGACGTCCATTTCCCGTGCATTGTTCGATTTCGTGCGTGTTTTTGTTTTCTCGATGGCCCAGGATGGTCCTCGATGGTTCTCGCCGAGAAAAAATGCACACGTCCGAGCGATGCCAAGAGACCCCCTCGCGTTGTGAAACCAACGTGACGGGAGGCTGCTCGTTATGTTCGGCCTCGGGGGGCTCTCGCTGAGGCCTCGGGACCGTCGAAACAAACGCAGGATGGAAAAAACAGGCCCTGGGAAGGGGTCCAGACCTCTGGCATCGACGCTGCGAAAGGAATCACGACGCCTCGGGGGCCTGGGGCTCCAGACCGGGACACGCCCCGTCGCCCCGGCGCGCGTCGGAGGGCCTCGCTGGGGAGGCTCGGGGGGCCAGTTCTCTGAGGGCTCGCCAAGACGGGGGGATAGAGAGTCGGGGCGTTGACCCAAGGGACCCTAAAATAAGGAACGAGGCCCCTTCTTTGTCCATGAATTAACCTTCGATTTCCTGTCGCAAACATAAGGAAAGCCTGAGGCGAGCTGTGAAACACTCAAGGAACGCGGAGCCCCTCCCCAACGAAAAGGGTTCCTTCTTCAGGGCCCCGACTGTAAGGGCAAATCCATTCAAAATCGGCACCCGGACCGATCCCAGGGTCCATCTGGCGAAAACTGTCACACCAAGTCAATTGTGGATTGCACCCGACACCAACAGTGGCCCCCACAGACTGCGAACGGCAAAAACCTTCTCGAACCATGCGCCTCGAACCTGCCCCCCCCCCATTCCTGCTTGCGGGAAGCAGTGCTGGGCCATCTCAGCCCCCCCTGCCAACTTCAATCTGTACCTAGGCGGCGCGGCCAGAGGGGAGTGAAAAGAGGCGGGCCTTCTCAGAAGGCGGCGGGGCTTTTCAGAAGTCCTCGCGCCTTCTGAGAAGCTCCCTGTGTCTCTGGGGAGGGCGTCGAAAATTTCTCAGAAGGCCGGAAAGCAGGCCTGCCCACTCACACTCCCCCCCCCCGGGTGCGCCGGCGAGTCTCCTCGCGTGGCGACGACGCCCACGAGACTGATCCGCACTCAAAGCATCCCTAAGCCTTTGAGAGGGGACCTGAGTTGGGAGGTCACACATGCATCCACCACCTCCTTCATCCCCGAAAGCCAGAACCAAAGCCCAACTTAGGCTGTGACTTCATTGTGCTATCAGGGCCTTTATCGCCGAAGGCCAGAACCGGGGCCCAACTTAGGCTGTGCCTTCACTGTGCTATCAGGGCCTTTATCCCCGAAAGCCAGAACCTGGGCCTAACTTAGGCTGTGCCTTCATTGTGCTATCAGGGCCTTTCTCCCCGAAGGCCAGAACTGGGGCCTAACTTAGGCTGTGCCGTCATTGGGCTATCAGGGCCTTTCTCCCCGAAGGCCAGAACCGGGGCCTGACTTGGGCTGTGCCTTCAGTGTGCTGTCAGGGCTGGGGGCTCTGGTCTTCTCGGAGAGAAACGGTGCGAACCCTGCCGCCGCGACGGTCGAGGCCAAGGATCTACCGACCCGGGTCCATCCAGACTGAAGGATCCCGAGGACACACAAATAAAAACATACAAATCCCAGGATTCCCGGCATTTTCCTACAATTTCTCAATTTTCGTTTTCCCCCCCACACTTCCCTTCTTTTCCCATATTTTCTGGAAGTCGACGATTCATGGTGTCTGTGTGATTTTTCCCTCCTGACACATCCGGGCCAGCCGGGCCTTGCAGGACCCTGCAAATTCTCCTGCAGGATCTTGCGCCCAAGCCCGGGTCGATGCGCTCCCTGGCCCTGCGGGATCCTACCAGATCGTTCCGACTGATTCCCGTTTGCGTCGACCCCCCCGCTCTCGCGCGGGGCTCAAACACATGCACCACCACCACCTCCCTCACCCCCCTCCCTCTCCAAGGAAAGAGGAAAGGAGGAAGAGGGTAGAGGAGTCGGCCTGTGGCATAACTGGGCTTAGTGGAACCTGGTATATGTTTTTAAACAACAAGCAAGGGGAACAAAAACGCCATAAACATCGGAGGTTAGGGGGTGGGATCGAAGTGGGACGGAAAACCCCCCTACCGGGAAATCGTGCGGGCGAGGCGAAGCTGCGTGGGCGGGCGACAGAAAGTCTCCAGTGGCTGAGGCGCGGCCAAAACACAAAAACCTTGACCGGGCGGCCGGTGCCCCGCGGTGTCCCGCCGGTGTCCCGCTGGTGTCCCGCGTGGCTGAGGCGCGGCCGGGGCAAAAAAACCTTGACCGGGCGGCCGGTGCCGCGCGGTGTCCCGCCGGTGTCCCGCTGGTGTCCTTTTGGAGTCCCGTCGGTGTCCCGGTGATGACGTGGATGATTATGATGATGTTGATGATGATGGTGGTGATGATGATGGTGGTGAT